CCCCCCCCCCCCCCCCACAGAAGGGATTGGAATTTCCTGGGGGTGGGGGTTCTTTAAGACCATAAAATTTAAAGAAATGCATCAAGTTTAAATGAAATTTCCAGAGGGGTGGAGGGGTCTTGCAAAAAATCCCTTCTGTGGGGTGGGTATGGATATTTTCTGGAATACACATGTAGCCATGATTCTTACCGGAGCATGAAAACCCCCAAAAAGTACCCCATTAAAAATGACCAGAACAGTTGTAAAATTGTCAAATGTAGAGTACACAATTTCGTTAGCACAAGGAAATTATGGCAAAAATATGGCTTTCCTTCTACCTAGTGGGTTGTGTTAGGTTTGCAAGGTATTGTGGTAAAGTGTACAGCCACCAACGTTTTTCCTATGGAGGTTGAATAACACTCTCTCAGTATTGAGGTTATTTTTGCAAGTTAAGGCACAAAGTGCTCTTCTAGCTCTTTCCTTTAGTAATCTGTCCTTCTACTCCCATGTTTTTTTATGTTCACTCAAACGAGATGGAGGCTAACTCGATAACCTTGCTGTTCTGTTAGCCTCCATGCACAAACCATATACCATTGTCACCTTTAATTGTTATATATGTCTTTTTTTTTCTTTTTTTATGCTAATATTGTAATTTCAAAATGTAAGTGCAAAATATAGTAAAGTTGAAGTTGAAGTTGATTTGATCCTTTGAAATACTTACTGGTGAATGAAAAAATAACAATCATCACCTGAAGGAAAACAGTTTTTCAAGGTCATAGTAATGTACTCTTTCATCACAAGAGTTCATTTATTGGCGAACTTAGATTTCTACTTAAAATTACCAAAAATAGATTAAACAAACCTTTACAGGCCTGCCTTCTTTTGTGAAGGAGTTGTCGATGCCTTATTTCTCCATACAATGGTGATACAGTTTTAAGCAGACAAAAAACAAGTAATGGGAATAGGGAAAGCCATCAGCCGGGGGATATACATAAAATATTGTCTCCAATCTCGTAAATATCTCACAATTTGCTTAGACTGAATGAAACTTCTAGTTTCACACTGAAAGACTGTCATATTCACCCCTACATGTCATTAAGCTTGCTGAATTTTGGCCTTTTTCTAAATAAAAACGAACTTATGCCATTGTACTTCACTTCTTTCATTGTTGACATTTTTTTTATTTTTTGTAGACCAAAAGCACGTTCAGCTTCTTCCATAATCCTAAGAGGTGCAAATGACTTCATGTTAGACGAAATGGAGCGTTCCATGCACGATGCTATCTGTGTGGTAAAGAGAGTGCTTGAGTCCAAGACTGTTGTCCCAGGGGGTGGGGCTGTGGAAGCTGCTTTGTCGATTTATTTGGAGAACTTTGCTACCTCCCTCGTAAGTGTATTTTTTAAAATTTATTTTTTATTTGTTGGTTTTGTTCCCTAACACTAGAGAACTCAAGCAATGACGACGGCAACCCAAGGACAATGCCTGTTAAAAAAATGAATTTATATTTTACCTTCGAGTTTTGCAGTTGTCTAGATCTGTCCTGTGCGCCTATTGCCCTCAGAACTTGCTCAAGCTAAATATGTCATGCCAGCGTTCAATTCCAAATGGAAATACAAAAAATTAGCCGCCGTCATTCGCGTTCTTCAAAATACTCAGAACTTAGTCATTTCATGTTGTTTTTGTGCAGAGGACGGCAAAGAAATGTACAAAGATTACTAACACACATGCACAGCCATTGTTCTACTCATCAAACCCTCGCCGTCGTGGTTTCCTAAAGCTCTCTATTTTATTTTCATCACCAGGGATCTAGAGAACAGTTGGCCATTGCTGAATTCGCCAATTCGTTGCTTGTCATCCCTAAAACTCTGGCAGTGAACGCAGCTCAGGATTCAGCCGACCTTGTGGCAAAACTCCGCGCGTATCACAACACGTCACAAATCAACACTGAGAGGTCTTCTCTCAAATGGTATGTAACTTCCGCGTTGAGTGGCAAAGTGTCACACTGGCCGGGTTTCACAGAACTTAAAAAATTAGAACTACCGTGTAAAGCGTAATAAACACGTGAAAGAACTGCTCGATAGGTTTCAATTGAATGGTCACATACTAGGGTTTCATCCACAGACTGAAAGGTTAGAACAACCTTGTACAGCATAATAAACAGCACCACATGAAAGTACTGCCCAATAGCTTTCATTTGAATGGTAACACAACTAGAGTTTCATCCGTAGACTTCAAATTTAGAAGCACTTTGCAACCATTAGATGGCATTGACAGTTTTCAAACTTTTTTATAGTAAGTAAATTTAGAAACTAAAGGCCTGTCCAAACGGGAAATGTTTGGCGACCAAACCCCATCAAACATTGTTTGGTGACCAAACATTTTACCGTTTGGCCACCTTGTTTGGTGCTGTTTGATCGTGTTTGATTGTGTTTGGTCGTGTTTGAAGAAATTTGAAGGCCATCAAACATTCGCTCAAACAACTTGAAACATTTCTTTTGCTCTCGTGTTTGATGGGCCATGTTTTGTTCGTTTGGACAGCCGTATCAAACATGTTTGGCGCGTGCATGTGTCCCACGCTTGCTCAGCGGCTTGCATCCATAGTTTGATCTATGTTTGATCACACAAGTTTAAACCGTTTGGCCACTCACTTCAACATCAGCATGTTTGGTCACCAAACAATGTTTGATGATGTTTGGCCGCCAAACATTTACCGTTTGGACAGGTCTTAAACCGGTAAGAATTATTTATAACGTCACATGCGAGACTCCAGTTTCATTTTCTAGAGGCTTTCCGTTCACAGTAGAGTTTTTCTGCTTCTCCAGGATCGGCTTGGATCTGATCGAGGGCAAAGTTCGTGACAACAAGAAGGCGGGTGTTCTAGAACCATGCATCAGTAAAATCAAGTGCCTAAAATTCGCCACAGAAGCAGCGATCACAATACTTCGGATAGATGACATGATCAAGTTGAGCCCAGAGAAAAAAGAAGAAAGTGCTTACGGGCAAGCTATGCAGCGCGGGGAACTGTAGACAAATTTATGCGAGACAAGGACTTTATTATTTGCGATTCCTTAATATGATGGACCGTGAGAGAGTGAAGATGGTCTCTTCAGTCCTTTGTCGCCCCATGGCTGAGTCGTAGACAAAGCTGGACGTTGTTAACAGTCTTGATGGTATTTCTGTTGGGTTTTCTTTTTGTTGGGTTTCCAATCTCTTCAGCCAATCAAAGGCCCTACAAGCGTTCAATTTATCGTCACGTGACTCGCTTTTGATTGGCCGGTCAACTGGAGAGTCAACAAGAAGGTCATGTCAAATGTCAGTAAAGCTTATCGAGTATTAAAGATCACCTCAACGCTTCTTACTGCAGCGTCTGTTCAGTGTAATGCGGAGAAACTATTCGCCCTGTGTACTAACTGCTAACCTGTGAGTAAATAGGGAGTTTAAGGAAACCACGACGGTCACGGCAACGGGAACGTCGCTAAACAAAAGGTTTAATGAGCAGA